ATCAAACCCACGCCCTTCCTGTGCCTCACGCTGAAGATGCTGCAGATCCAGCCCGAGAAGGACATCATCGTGGAGTTCATCAAGAACGAGGACTTCAAGTGAGCGCCGCTTTCCTCCGCCGCGGCCCCGCGCCGCTCACCCGCGCCGCTCACCTGCTGCGCTGCCCTTCCAGGTACGTGCGGATGCTGGGCGCCCTGTACATGAGGCTGACGGGCACTGCCATCGACTGCTACAAGTACCTCTTACAAATGGGACCTGCCTCGCATCTTTTGCGTTTCCCAAACACTTGTATTTGGTGTTTGTTGAAGTGAGTTTTCGTGCAAAACAGAAAACAAATATAATCAGTGCTGATTTAAGTGTTGGGAATCTACTAATTCTACCAGTGCTGTGATTTTCTCTCTTTGCAAAGCAGACCTATTGTTTTTCCTAATCTTTAAGAATTATTTTTGAGCTATTGCTTGTACAGCCCACTTATATCAAGCCTTTTAAGCTTGAAGCATTTCATCTTTACTTCAGTTGCTGGCATTAATTTTCTTCATCTCTTGAATGTTTTTTTTTCCCAGAATTTGAACTGATGCATGTGGATGAATTTATTGATGAACTACTCCATGAGGAACGCGTGTGTGATATCATTCTGCCTCGATTACAGGTTTGGAAAAGAGGATGATAATTGAATTCTTAGCTACATCACGTTTGGTACTTGCATCAGCCTCCTGGTTCATAAAGCCACATACAGGACTCCTTGCGCACAGCAGATGCTTTCTTAGGTTTTTGTCCTTTTTTATCTTATGTAAGATAAGGTTGTAATTTCTCTTAGAAACGGTATGTTCTGGAAGAAGCTGAGCAACTCGAACCTCGTGTTAGTGCTTTGGAAGAAGACATGGATGATGTGGAGTCGAGTGAGGAGGAGGAGGAGGAAGATGAAAAAGTTAGTTGACTGTTTTACAGCATTTTATAATGGGGTAATTAAGCATGAAATAGTACATGTTATAGCTTATGAGAAATGCCTGAGGGGAGGTACTAGAAGGCTGCAAGGCAGGTTTTCCTTTCCTTAATGTATTTCATGAAGTGTCTGTGAGAATGTGCTTGTCCATGAATCAGCTCTAAAGTGCTCCATGTTTGTCAAGCTCTTCTGTCTGCTCGTATTTCAGATATTTTATATGTGCATGAAATAGATTTATATATAGGCGTTTTGGCTTTTACTCTCACCTTTAATTCTATAATAATGGTCCTACTTGGTTGCTTTAGGTTTTTTTTTTTAATTTCTAGTGCACTTTATAACTAGCAGATTTATGTAGTAATACTCATTTCCGAGTAAAAAATACCTGAGAAATGGGAAGCTCGGAGGACTCATTTCCTCTTTTCTCTCTCGTATTAGTTGTTTGGGAATCCCTCCTCATAACTAAGGACAGACTTACAGAGTTAACTTTTGCAATGTTTCCAGTTGGAACGAGTACCCTCTCCCGATCACCGCAGAAGAGGCTACAGAGACCTGGATAAACCCCGCAGATCTCCTGTTGTGAGATACAGGCGGAGCCGAAGCAGGTCTCCAAGAAGGTGAGATGTGGCTCTTTTTGAACAGTAGCTTTGCTTCAAAAAGAAAAACGTACGGCAGAGTACTTTTAGTAGCTCTAAGCACACAGCTGAAGATACTGTCCCATTGGAATCTCTTGCAACCTCTGCGTTTTTTAGTTATTACTTGGGCTCGCAGTGTTGCATAGCCCAGTCAAGCCCTGTTTGCCCATTTCCCTAGTCCTGTAGTAATTCTTTAATTTGCTGGCCACCTTCAGCTACATTTGACAGTGAAGTGAAGCTGTCAAGCAGAATCAAGTGCCTTGTGGTTTTCGTGTAAACTAAGGACTGAGAAGAAAATAATCTTGCTGACTGGGCCTATGGGTATTAAGTCAGGAAGAAAAAAAAATCACTTGCCTCTTTCTGCTCACTGTTCAGGCCAGCATGTACTGGCCCAGGGTAGCAGGCTAAACACATGCTGCTGGGATAGGGGAGAAGGACAGGACAGGAAACCCCTGGTGCTGTTTGCAGGCACTACAGGAAACAAAATGCTCATTTGGTCAATGGCTCTTGGTGACTTTTTTTTTTTCTTCCAATTACAGACGAAGCCGTTCTCCAAAGAGAAGAAGGTAGTCTATTTTTCTGCTGTATAATTTCAGAATGTGTACATTTTTCGTATCGTTATATAAAAGCTCCCTTTCTCTTAGCCCATCGCCACGCCGGGAGAGGCATCGCAGCAAAAGCCCGAGACGGCACAGGAGCAGATCCAGGGAGAGGCGGCACAGATCAAGATCTAAATCTCCAGGTATTTTTGTAGTTTACCTCTTCAACACTGGCATGTCTCTGTCAGCAGAGCATCTAAAAGGAAAATGCAATAAACTAGACTAGAGCCTTAATCTGGATTAAGAATGGTTAGTAATATGGAAGCATGCCTGGAGAACTCTTTTGATATGTGCAACATTGTACTCCGTACCTTTTTTTTTTTTTTTTTTTTCAAATATTTGGTTTGTGGGCTTAATTAAGGCTAGGTTTCTTTCGGCCTTAACCTAGGACACTTAGTCACTAAAAGCAGATTACATTAGCAAAGCAAAAGAATTGTTGGGTTCTGTGACTGTAAGCAGAAGTTAACTGTTACCCTTTTCACCTCACAGGGCATCACCGTAGTCACAGGCACAGAAGTCACTCTAAGTCACCTGAAAGGTAACAGCCTGGCATACTTCTGACATGTGTTTCTTCTGTTTAAGAATTTCAGAACTGGAGTTGTTTTGCACATGGGAGATAAAGTATTTGATATGTTACCTCCCCCAGTGCTGAAGTCGAGATACATTATCCATTGTCTATTGCAGAAAAAGCCACTGTGATTCACTATGATACTATCAACTGTTCTAAAACACCACTATGTCCTATGAATCTTTTTGTTTCAGATCTAAGAAAAGTCACAAGAAAAGTCGTCGAGGGAATGAATAGAGAACTAAACCAAGCAGGCATTTTAGGGACCTTGAACCACAGTCTAATACTGCCCTTTTTGCTTTATGGGGCAGTAAGAGATGTACTGACTGTTTTAGCAGTCTAATTCCTTAATCCTGCCACTCTTGTGTAAGTAGTAGTTTATTTGTTTCTTTTTATCAAAGGAAAGCTAAGGAAACTTTTTATGTAGTTACTTATTCATGTTCCTGGTAAATTTGGAATTTTTAAAAAATTGTTTTCTTAAGGCTTGAAAAAATTGTGATAAGCAATAAAAATATTTTTTTTTCTCTCAAGACTCCTTGCTCTCTTTTCCCCTTTTGTTTGTTTTGACTTCTAACTGAAGTCCATTTTAATTCCTGGATCAAGACTTTGTTAACAAAAGCAACTAAATGCAGTTGCAAAAGTGAGAATGGCTGTGGTGTTAGCTCAGTGCTGAAGGAACTACCAGCTTAACCTAGAAAGCAGTGTTTCTCAATAAACCTCCTTGTACAAGAAAGAAAGCAATACTGTCAAAGTCTGTGCTATTCAAAAAGTAGAAGGTAACTTAAAACTATTCTCAAAGATGAAGCTTGTACTGCTTTACTTACTACTATATTTAAAAAAAAAAAAAAAAACTTCAGTAATACACTACTAGACAGTACAACAACATACTATTGCTTTTCAGGCAAAATTACTTAGTAAATTAAAAAAAAATTAACACCCTGCCTTTGAAGACAAATAGTTTGTGGTCTACAGGTGGTTTGGGAACAGACTGACACATACCTTTATTCAGCTCTAGAGCTGCTGAATAAAGTTTGCACTCAGCAAGGCTTTTCTCAGCTCTTAGTTATAGTTCTTAAAAAAAAATATGTATTCTAAATTGCAAAAAAATAGTAGTGTGTTAAATCCCCTCTCTACTCTCCCTTTATTCATAAACTTGCTTGACAAGCATGGATTTGCAGTTTTGTCTTGCAAGGATTTTATATATGAAATTGGAAGATTGCTACTTAAGTGTTTTCCACATACTGTGCACAGGACAGCACAAATTTTATATACAATGACTTTCTGGAAGAAATCTTTACTAAGTTGTAATAGTACAGACTTAACCTTATCAAAATAATATGAAATTATTTTAGAAAAGTAAGAAGGGAAAAGCAGGGAGACTAAGTATCTAGAAGAAAAATGCCTTATCTAGTGTCTAGTGGCATGTAATGACATATGCAGGGGGACAGGAGTGGCCACACTACTTATCTTAGTGATTAAAGCTACTCACATTTCACATTTTCTATTAAATACTTAAAGCCTTTTTTTGTTGCTGTTTACTTACAGTTAAACACAACATACATACAGCAAGTGATGAGGAAAAGTCTTGCATCCTTTTTTTGCAGTTTTATTTTTCTTTTTAAAAAGTTTTTTTTGGCACTACATAGTTCTGTAAAGAATAGAAGTGACAAATTTTTAAACACATGAAATCCCTTTCTAATTTTATTTTTTAGAACAATATATATAAAGTCTGAAGCAACCAAAGTATGAATACAGCTAATAGAAAATAAAGAACTTAATTTTAAAAATTCTCTCTCTTTACAGTTTATCAAGATAAAACAAAACACAAGTCCCCTTAAAAATAGGGTAATAAAATAGATGAAATTTGTATCACTCAGTTTTGTGATACTAGTAAAAACTATAGCTCATATCTATGTACAAATGATACAGTTTAAAAACAGTCTTAAATAATCTTGTATCTAAACATGTTGCATTAAGATTTTAAATCAGAACCTGATTTTTTTTTCCTCCCCTTCCCCACCCACCCAGTCATAATCCCCTTAAATTTCACTTTTTCTGTTGAATGAAATTCAGATTCAAGTGTGGGTGTCCTTGAGACAGAAGCGAGAACCGCTGGTTACTCTGCATCAGTGGACCAGCTAAAAGAAAATGGATTACAATTACTTCAGCAAGTTAGACACAGTTAACAGAGTGTGGCTATATTCAATGTATAACACTTACTTAGAAATAAAGGCATTTACGTGGTTGACACAAATGCTATCTACATGACTAGCCCATTTAACAGTACAATGCAATGTTATTTTTATCCTATCTCTGAAATTCCCTCAAAATCATCAGTACCTTATTAATGTTACTTTAAAGAAATTAAGATTAAACTAATAAAAATAATTTCAGGGTTTTTAAATCTTTGTCTCACCTGGAAACCTTGCTACAGCCTATGGCTTAGGCTTTGAAAACAAAACAAAAACGGAATGTCATGCCAGAATCTCCCATCTTACACAGTATGAGCAAGCAGCACAGTAATTACACGCCTTTAGGTAAAATTTGGGCATGGTCTCTCTCTTACTGAAGCCAAAGGCCATTTTCCCATGACCTTTCCTAATCCTGCAAGATGCTGAACACCTTTATTGGTCACTAGCATCAGAAAGAGTTGGATAAAGTTAATTATTCAAATAATCGTGAATAACTGAGCCCAATCTAGCTTTGACTTTCGTGCTGCTTTGACTGCAGATGGCACTAGGTGACCTCCAGAGGTCCCTTCTGACCTAACTATTCTATGAGCTTTTAAGTTCATAATGTATGCAAGTCATTTGCAGGGCAAGGTGCAAAAGCCAAATAAAATTATTACGACAAAAACTTATGCAAATTCTTAGCACACACACAGACAACTTATTTTATCCTCTTATTGAAGGAGAGGTGGCTCTAAGTGAGACAGGTGCAATGAACGAGGGGAAAAAAAAAGGCTGGGAGCGCAACACAGTCCAAGCTGCCTATCAGATTCCACAATGCCATTTAATCCCTTCCCTCCCACAAAGATTTTCATCCATCCATACAGGAAACTGAAGTGTTGATTTTACTCTTGGTTTCATTCTTATGGTTCCAGGGAGCCTAAGCATGTGAAACAAGATTCCTTGGCTTTTAAAGCCTCTGAGACAGTAAAGAGACATGTTGCATGAGCTGTTGATTCATATACTAGTTCTAGTACCTTGAGGGTAGAAAGGTTTGTTCGGTGGATAGCTGGCATTTCCCTGCTGCATGTAGTTCTGAGGCATATTGTAAGGCCACGCTCCTCGGAGGAGAGGAAAATGGGTAGGGGTCCCATGGTCCCAAGGGACAGAAGGAGGGTTCATTTTACCAAACTGTCCTTGGAAACCCTGATCTATTTTTCAATTGAAAGGGAAAAGCACATTGCAAGTTGAAATAATTAAACAATAAGTCACAAATACAGTTTACATCTCAAATAACATTTTGCAGGGGACTTTATGCAATTAATCTGATGCGCTAATTTTTAAAATATATACACTAACAAGAATTACCACCTAAATTACTTCATTATTCATCATAATAGAATTTTATTGGAGGGGGAAGAGAGGTCTTGATTTTAAGTACTGATTCATCATCTAAAATCTCACTATTTCATACAGAAATAAGTTAGACTATGTTATTCTCATGATGAAAAATACAAGTTCTGAAAAATGTTACTAATAACTGATCCTACATAGATCTTCGCTATCACTGACACACATGTGACATGAAAGGCATGTCCTACTTCAAGAAATAATTCTCAGAAGCAGTACAGTAGAATTCCACTAACATCTATACGCTTAAGAAACTGTAGGTAGACCGCAGGACAAACTTAAAAATTATTTTTTGGAAAGATAAAAACTTCTGAAATTAGTATACAACTTGTAAAATATTCCATTCATAAATCTAGTATTACTGCAGTGCAAAGGATGAGAAATCAAGCATCAAGGAGGCAAGATGCATAATTATTGACAGTGCTGTCAATTTTGCTCTTTTTTTTCATAGCTCCGAATTTTATAAGAAACTGAAATACCCTGTAATTTAAAAATCTTGGTCACTGTACATTCAAAAAAAAAAAAAAAAAAAAGGCAACTATCCTTCTCAGAATAGTAGTTCCCCTTAGGAAACTTAGAGACTTTCAAATTAACAAGCAAGCTATGGGCTTAAAAATAACAGTTGTTTTCATACAGTAAAATATGAAATACAGTCCACAAAAAAGCACAAAAAAGTTTTCCTTTTGAATCTTCTAACAATCCTACTTCTGACTAGATTGTCTACTGAAAAGAAAGTAAACTTGCTTCTTCCTACTCAAGATTACGTGAGGCAAGACAAAGTTTCCATCAATTTGCTGTTCCCAAATTGTTCCAGGCAGGCATGAAAGCAGACTTCAAACAGAGAGTACACAGCTCATCTTCGCAGTGCTCCTACCCAGTGACCTACTGTAATGTCATCTAAACCATAAAGGAAACAGTTGATTAAAACACAAAGAGGGCAAACACCAGGACTGGAAACTAGGAAAAGGTGTTATGAGACAAAATGAAAGGATTTCAGCTGGGGGAAAAAAAAAAAATTACTGAGACTGACAGCAAGAAAACTAGGAAACATTCTGTGCAGACAAGATGAGAGTAGAAATGTGCAAACAGAGACAAAGTGCAAAAGAAAGAGACTGCAGACAGACCAATAGACAACAAGCCCTGACACTAGTTAACGGAGGAAAGAGAGTCAAGAAAAGAAATGGAATTCGGCCAACATGTCTAAAAGAAGGCAGCTACCTGGGTAAGATGGTGTGGATCGGAAGGACGTGCTTGAGAAATAAACGCAGCACTGAGGTGAACTCAGAAGGGGGAGACAGATGAAGCATGATAGATAATTGAAACAAGAAATGATGGAGGATTAGGGACAAAAGCAAACTTAGAAAGCACACTGGTAGCAGTCTCTGCATCCTCTACAATATATTCACCTTAATGACACTGCCCATATCAAAAAATATGCAATTCCTGTCAGCAAATATCTAAAGGCTGAATGGCAAAGTACATCTCATCTAATAGTGTTGACTCATAGATGAAAATCCTTTATTGCTGTCAATAACTCCATTAGCGTGGAGAGAAGATGTGCAGGAGATTTAAAATTCCAATCTCTTGTGATGAATGACTGCGTCAGTATATTGTATGATGAGCATTTTTTTAAACATAGGTTAAGTTATCCACAGAATAAATCAAGAGAATACTATTATGGTTTAGAAGATCACTGTTCAAGTTCAGGGACAGCCATTGTGTATGTTGCTTAAAGAACTGCCTTGTTAGTTACTACAAACTGTTTTACTCA